CTGCTCAGTATTTGCAAGTCCCTCGCCGCCGGCGGCATCGCTGGTGGAGTGTCAGTTCTCTCTCTCTCTCTCTCCCAGTCGCTATTTGAATGTGTACCTATGTATATCTGTATGCATATAAATAGACGCGTTCGGCGTTCACCAATTTTTCAGATTTTATTTTTCTACACGAGCAGTAATTAAAGTTTTTAAGCTTTTGTATTTTACTCCTTTATAAAACAGCTAAATTAGTTACAAGTGCAATTTTCGGTTAATATGAATTTTTTTAAATTGTAATTGGTTGTGTTGCAGATCACGCACTGCAGTTGCTCCGCTGGAAAGGCTAAAAATTCTTCTTCAGGTAATTCCAGGGAGTATCTGCGTATTTGAAGACATACATCCATCCATATTCTCTAGATTGGGATGACCTTATTTATTAATCCTTTGATTCTCTAAATTTTCCAGGTTCAAAATCCTCATAGCATAAAATACAGTGGCACAGTTCAAGGATTGAAATACATATGGAGAACTGAGGGTTTTCGGGGATTGTTCAAAGGAAATGGGACCAATTGTGCACGAATTGTCCCAAACTCTGCTGTCAAATTTTTTAGCTATGAGCAGGCATCCAAGTAAATTATTTTTCTTGCTCTTCACAAAGTATTCCATGACAGTGTTTTACTGCTTTCTGTGGTTTGCTTGTTGATTACATAGTTTGAATGTCTGCTGTACTCACATTCAATGGTAATAGGCTTTGCTATTTATTTATTTATTTTTTTATTCCATGTGTAGAGGGAATGAGAAACCAACATTCATTAAGTGCCACTTTGGCTTGTTTCCCGCAAATAGAAAAAAAAAAAAGAATTAGTAAAGCTGCTAAAGATTGTTCTGTGAGTGTTTGCACCTGTGTGTTATAAAGGAAGGATTTTTCTTATATACAAGTTCACTATTAAAATTTAACAACTCAAGGCTAAGTTAATGCCAAGAGAACATTATTTTTGCTTCATTTTATGGGAGGACAGCTGTTATTTTAGAAGTTGAGTATTGGTTTAGTTTTCACCTTCCCTAGGTTTTTATGCTGTGTAATTTGCTTTTATTGCTAGTTACTTATTTGTTTTATCCAAATGGTTATTCTGACTGGTAGTCTGGTACTCAATATTCCGTTGCATTTTGTGGAAATTATTCAGGGGCATCTTATGGCTTTATCGCAATCAAACTGGAAACGGTATGGCTTTCTTCACAATTGCCCTCAATATTACTGTATACTAAATATCTTTGTGTACACTCTCAATCATGAATTTTCATCCTCAGACAAACTGATAATATATTCAATATCACTGATGTTATTAATGAATTCAATTTCTTTTCCCTTTCTAATGCAGTATTGCTATTCTGAAGTAGGTGACAAAATAATCTTGCATTCCTGCACTGCCTTCTTCCCCCTTGTATAATCTTAACTAGTTCACTGTAGTTAATGGAAAAATTTTGGTGTTGAGTGCAAATGTTCAACTGTACCCCTTCCCCTCCCAAAGCATGTTTATTTATTAATTATTACGGAGTATTATGATTATGATTATTATTATTATTATTTTGAGGAAAGGATGAAAATTGAAATCAAAGAACTTTGGTCCTGAGAGGTATTTGTTGCCTTCGTTTTAGAGCGTTGATACTTTAGCATGATTCCTAGAAAAAAGGCATTAAGTAAAACTAGTTTGGTAGAGTTGTTTAGCACTAGAACTTTATGTGAAAAATTTGCCAGTTTGCCAAATTTTGTCATTTTGTTATCACTGGAAATTGCTATGTTCTTTCTATGTTAAAAGGAATACCAATTGTAGGATAACTTGAAGGAAATTAATCAATACTATGTACAATTTGGCCAGCAGTTAGCCCAATCACACTTCAATTATTGCTTGAAACAATATACTTTCTTGATGGTCTGAGAGTTATTAGTAGCATGATTTCAAGTAAATCTCTTGAGGCTCATGTTGATTATTACCTTTTACCTTTTACAGAGGAGGCTGAACTAACTCCAATTTTACGCCTTGGTGCTGGAGCATGTGCTGGAATTATTGCCATGTCTGCAACATATCCAATGGACATGGTACGAGGTCGGCTAACTGTCCAGGTATAAGATGTGTTTTGTAACATGTGAACTATGCAGTCTTCACATATGTGCTTACTTTTTTGGTTAGTGTCTACTGTCAACTGTGTTTAGCATTTTGGTGACTCACCTTTAAGCTGTGATCATTTTGCAGTCAGATAAATCTCCTACCCAGTATAGAGGAATATTTCATGCCCTTAGAACAGTTTTTGTTGAAGAAGGGCCTCGTGCTCTGTATAGAGGATGGGTTCCTTCTGTAATAGGGGTGGTAAGCAGTGAATTTCATCTCTCACATAATTAAAAATGCCCATTTCTTTTCAATTCCTGTGATGGCTGTGTCCTTTATTATTTTATCTCAACTGGCAACATGCTGGCATTTTCTTCAATCTCTCTCTGAAACTTGAAAGACTAATACAAACCACATTGCTTGCAGATACCATACGTAGGTCTCAATTTTTCTGTATATGAATCTTTAAAAGATTGGTTGGTCAAATCTAGACCATTTGGACTTGTTCAAGACTCTGAGTTGAGTGTTACAACGAAGCTTGCCTGTGGGGCTGCTGCCGGAACTGTTGGCCAGACAGTTGCTTATCCTCTTGATGTTGTTCGTCGAAGAATGCAGATGGTAGGTTGGAAAGGTGCTGCTTCTGTTGTTACTGGTGATGGGAAGAGCAAGGCACCACCACAGTATACTGGTATGGTGGATGCTTTCAGGAAAACAGTTCGTCATGAGGGGTTTGGAGCTTTGTACAAGGGATTGGTTCCCAATTCAGTTAAGGTTAGTGTTATTCAATATGCTTAAAATTCCCCTGCATTTATCTTGTTTTAAAAAGAAATAGACTTTGGTTTAACTCTTACGTTTGGAGTTTGTGTCATCAAATATTGACCTGTACAGAGTGTTGATCTTTTCCATTTTAGTACCTTTATTTACGGTGTGTTTCGTAAAGCTTGTTTAATATATATATCATTAAGATTATAGATAAAATAATTAACTTTGTGTTTGGCATAGGTTACTAGTTTTGTAAGGCAATAACATGTGTAACTATAATTGCACTATGTATTATTCACAATCCATAATCACGAACCATAACATAGACTTTACTATATGGGGCATTGTATCACATAATTCTTTTGAAAACTGCAAAAGAAACTGGTTTATTGCATCCCATTTCATTAAGAAAAGCAAAATTATTGTGGTACCTAAACGAGTGACCTTATGGTTTTTTTTTTTTTTTTTCTTAGGTGGTTCCCTCCATAGCAATTGCATTTGTGACATATGAGGTGGTCAAAGACATTCTTGGAGTGGAAATGAGGATATCTGATTGATACAATCCAAAAAGTTCAGTCTTTTGTCTGAACTTGAATTCTAATTTTGGTCAGAGTTGATTAGGTTAATGGGGGTTCACTATGAGGTTGTTCTTTCTTATACATGGGAAATTTGGTAAGTTTAGAGAATGTTGAGATAGCTTATATCCTATAATAGCAAACCTTTTCTTTTGTTTTAACTTCTAAATACAAGTACTCCTAATACTGCCAATAAGGATGTCATCCCACACTCTTCTTTTGAAACTGAAGTTAAGATTTGCCCAGAATTTTATGCAACTGGTTGTTGATATATAATCTGTGAGTATTTGTTGTGTTGCCAAATTTTAAATGATCTTGTTTCCTCCTTTAGTTTTGGTGGGATACTTGTTTATGTGATTTATCATTAATATTGAATTATTGTTTTGATTGAATTATGTAAGTTACTCTAAACTTAATGACCCATCATGCTCATGCCCTGAAGACTAATGGACGAGATAAATTGCGGAATGTGTTTCAATTGGTGTACATATCTTAAAATAAGTGTATAATAGTGCTCACCAATCTTTGAATTATATACCTGTATATGAATAGATTTATGTATTTGGGATTGTGTAATGTAGTGAGACTGAGAGTGAAAGCACAGTTTAAGCGCTAAAAGAATAATCATGCAATGTTAGGGTAGAAATATACTTGATTTTGTGTGACATTGTGTAAAGGCAAAAAGTTGGGTAAGAATGAGACTGTTTCAAGGATCCTTGTTCGTTAAACGGGTCAGGTTGAAAAATTTAATAATTTATTTGACACTTTTCTCTAAAATTTTTGTAAAAATTTTCTTATCAAATATAAATAGTTCAAATCCATCTTCCAAACTCATACTTATATTTTTTATTTTTTATTTCCAGCCTAAACTCTAAACTTTTTCACCCTGTTTAAACTCTACATGAATTTATGAATAACTTAAATTGATTTATCTGTCACTTATCTACTAAGGTCACAAAAAGAGCTTTAAAGCAACAATCTTTGAACTAGAGTAGCTAGATTTATTATATTGAATGCCATATTCGGAATCATATCTAAATTATTTGTTAAACGTAGCATATAAACCATTCAATTACAACATAAAATTGTTAACATTAATATTATTATTATTCTATTTGTTGAGTATGTCTAAGGAATAAGAGTCGAACGGATTGAATGAGGACAATAGGACCATGGGTATTTTTTCCTTGTAGTCAGATGTTTAATTTGATCATCATCATAACACAATTAATAAAAGCATAATTTTGCTCTCGTAAACGTAAGCAAATTGTCGAACCATATAAATCTTACTAAAAATAATATTTAAAAGTTTTATTAAACACATAAAGGTTATATTTAAAAATTATTTATTAAATTATTTATTACAAAGTATTATTTTTGGGATGATGAGCAAACCCCATAGACATTATCTGGGAGTAAACATTGAGTAACCCACTTATATGTAATAACTCACAAGAAAAATAAAGTATATTAGGAAGATTTAATGTTTACAAGAATCAAACATATTAACAATTTTATTGATTATATATAGTTGATACAAGGCAAATGTTGAATAATAAGTATATAACCATAATACACACTAAGGTAAAACTAAATCAGTTGTGCAATCTGAAAAATTAGTGTAGATTGAGGTAACAGGGCGCCTCACATGTCAGCAACAAACCAAAGATATGCTACTCTTTCGGTCGCCTGCTTCTCATTCATACGTTTAAACATTTGTTTCTCATAACCATTACTGCGGTCAACCCCATCCCAGTGTCTTCCTGGTTTGATACTATAGCGATTGGGTGCTGCATCCAAGCCTCTGCGTATCCAGCTTTGAGGGGGAATTTCTTGGGGAATTATGAAGCCTGATTCTTTCATTTTGTCATCTGCTCCCAGGTCAGGCAAAACCTGTTCTGCTCTCTTTTTCTTGACTAAATGTGCCATGGGGTCACCCCATCTCAACCTGTCCTTCAACATATTCTCCAGTTCAGGGTCATCTCTGCTCAGTGCAAATGGCTTCTCCTTCTCACTTTCCAGTTCTTTAAGCCTAGCCTCCATCTCACGTTTCTGAGCCAAACCTTTACCCCATTCCACCTTTATTTCCTTCGGCTCTTTCTTTTTCTGAGACTGCAAGTACTCTTCCTTTGATACCCGTTCCCCAGTTACTTTATCACGATATACTGGTTTAGCACCTCGCCCACTAACTACACCATCCATCTCTTTAAACCTCAACCACTCCTCTTTCTTTGTTTTAGCAATTTCATCCTTCACATCCTTGCCAGTAACCAAACCAGTCTTTTGCCTCACAGGCGACCACCGATATCGTGACTTGCGTTTCCGGGGAGGTGACAAGTCATTATCTTGAAGTGGATCTGGTGAATCATCCCCTTCCTCAGGTTTTTGCCAGACAGGATCCTCATCAACAATAATGACACCTGAGACATCAGTTTTAGCTTTCTTTTTCTTCTCCTCTTCATACCCACTTTCATATTTTTTCAGATACTTCTTCAGTGATGTAGAGTCAGATGATGGAGCCACCATTCTGCCTCAATCAACAACTCACTACTGCCTGAGTTTATTCGCCGGAGAGTTCACCGGGACTTTTTGGTCTCCGATTTATCGTTCTCCGGTGACCGGTGATGGAGATGGCGGTGATCAAAGGCGGTGGACAGCGGTGTCAGACGGCGGATGGAGAGGCTGGCTTCCCGCTTCCCCTTATCGACTGGGATCAATGGTTATCGCCGGCCTGCTGTTTGTTCTCGGCGACGGAGACGGACGTCAGTGGCAGCGAAGCGATGCTGAGTGAGAAGGTGAAGGTCCCGGTGGTGATTCCCGGTCGACTCTCCTGTCTGTCTCTCGTTCTCTTGGTCTCTCGGTCGTCTGTCTCTCTTTCTTGGCTGCGGATGAATAATAATATGGCAATTAGGGAGTTTTTTGCACTTTTAGTCCCACGACTATAGTGGCACTGGCAGAATTGATCCACGACTTTTGAACCTTGCAATTTTAGTCCACGACTATTGATCTTTTTGCAAAAATGGTCATTCCGACCACTTTTCCGTCAAAATTTCACCGGAAAAAAAAATTCTCTATTTTTAGCTGGGTTAAATGCGGCGGCGGAGTACATGTACCAGTCCAAAGCTGTTGCCGGATAACCCAACTAGCCCGGGGAACGCCACGGCCTCTCCGCTGCTTACTGACAGCCCTGCCTGCTCCAGGAACTCCGCCGTCTGGGACAGTAGTATGTAGCCCAGTAATATTGTATGTAGTCAAATATCAATTTTTTTCTTTTAATTTGTTGAGATAAGTAAAATGTCAATTTTAACCCGGCTAAAAATGAAGAATATTTTTTTCCCGGTGAAATTTTGACGGAAAAGTGGCCGGAAGGACCATTTTTGCAAAAAAATCAATAGTCGTGGACTAAAATTGCAAGGTTCAAAAGTCGTGGATCAATTCTGCCGGTGTCACTATAGTCGTGGGACTAAAAGTGCAAAAAACTCGGCAATTAGGCAACTAGGGTTCACCTATATATTCTTTCTTTTTTTTTTTTTTTTTTGGAAAATAGATTTCATTAATTCAAATCGGAATACAACTCGTTGACAATAAAAGAAGGAGGAACAGATATCCACTCCTGACGCACAGACATAGAACAAGCTTCCCTAGCAAGGCTATGGGCAACTACATTCGCAGTGCGGCTAACGTAAGAGATAGCTACATGATGGACTGAACGTAGCAAATCTTTAATATCTAGAAGAATAAGATCACAAGAAGAGTCTTCGCCATTCTGCTTCAAACTTTGGATGATTTCTAACGCATCAGATTCAATTTGAAGATGAGTAATCCCCTATCTCTTGATCCAGCTTAAGGCTTTCCTGATCGCCATTGCTTCCGCTTCCTTAGGGGTGAAGACGCCCTTACCTGGGATGCATTCTGCTGCTACAAACTGTCCAGTGTCATTCCTGAGCACCCACCCGAAGCCCATGCTTCTATTCAATGTTGAAACGGCTGCATCCGTGTTTAGTTTGTAGAAGCCTGAAGATGGTTTATCCCATTTGTGAACTGATGAGTTCTTGGCAATGGATGTGGCAGTGTCTTCTCTAACTATGTTCGTCCAGTCGGCAAGATATCGGCGTGATCCTTCAACAAGAGTGCTAGGAGATGGTAGACTACCGTTCCAAACCTTGTCATTGCGGGCAGTCCATAATTTCCAACAAAGCATCAAAAGCAGACAACAACTACCCTTTTCCAAGTTCTTGAATTGAAAATCTAACCATTGTGCGAAGGTGTTGAAACCATGGGTTATTAGAGGAAGTCCACTTAAACTCCAAACAGCCTTGGCATAGATACATTCTGTAAAGATATGAAGGGTAGTTTCCTCTTTAACTTGGCACATTTGGCACTCAGCTGGACACTGAACTCGTCTGATCCTGAGACTATCCGCTGTAGGAAGACATCCAGAACATGCTTGCCAAACAAATGATTTGATCTTCCGGGGGACGTTGAGCTTCCACATTGCAGTCTACGGTAACTTTTGTGATTGATCGAACTGGATAGATAGGTCCCTATAGCACCCTTTAACAGTAAAAGAGCCCTTGCAATCATCGTTCCATATCAGTTTATCACTTCTGTTCACCAGGGGTAGGGGTATGATTAAAATCAAATTGACATCCCTTTCTACAAAAATCTCCCGGATAGTGTCTTCATCCCAGCTAGAGTTGTCTTCCTTAAATAGAGCCGAAACCGGAGCATCATGAAGAAAAGGGAATGGTGGTGTTTGTATCATTGCATTTACCCGGTCCGGTAACCATTTGTCCCCCCAAATCTTAACTGAGTTACCATCACCAATTCTCCACCTGCTATGTCTCCTAATGAGCTCCAGTGTTTCCACCATACTACTCCAGATGAAGGATGGATTTCCCCCTTTTCTTGCTGTCAGAATGGAGCAGTCTGGATAGTACTTGGCCTTGAAAACTCTTGCAACCAACGATGATGGATTTTGCAACATTCTCCAGGTCTGTTTCGAAATCATTGCCAGATTGAAGTTTCTCAGATTTCTGAAATTGAGACCCCCATAACTTTTTGGTTGTGTGAGATGTTTCCACTCCTTCTAGTTGATACCACTTCTACTCCTGCAGTCCCCTTTCCACCAAAAGGAATTCATAGCCCTTTCAAGTTCATTTATCAACTCCTTAGGTAAGAGAAACAAGCTCATAGCATGTAAAGGTATAGCTTGGATAACATTCTTGAGCAATATCTCCCTTCCTGCCTTAGTGAGAAATCTGTTGGTCCAGCTTTGCATCCTTTGAATAATGCGATCCTTGATGAATCCTAGAATACCCTTTTTATTTCTCCCAATGATAGCTGGTAACCCCAAATAATTTCCATCAACACCTTCCCTGCTAATCTGGAGGATATTCATAACTTGTTCTCTCTTGACTCTGTCCACATTAGCACTGAAAGAAACTGCGGACTTATGGTAATTTATAATTTGTCCAGAGGCTTTCCCATAAATATCAAGAGTTTCCTTCAACACGTCACTCTCAGACTGATTTGCTTTTATGAATATGAAGCTGTCGTCCGCGAAGAATAAATGAGAGATCTTCGGGGCACCTCTTGCTATAGAGATTCCATGGAGAGAACCACTACTTTCCAGTTTAGTCAACATAGCACTTAAGCCCTCTGCAAGCAAGATAAACAGATACGGAGACAGTGGGTCTCCCTGTCTCAGGCCCCTCTTTGGGTGAATCGGACCGATTTCCCTACATTCCTGCAATACACAGTAGGATACAGTTGAAATGCAATGATATACTAGATTTATCCAGTGCTGCCCGAAACCCATCCTGGCAAGAAGAGCTTGAATAAAAGGCCATTCGACCCTGTCATAAGCCTTACTGATATCTAACTTGATAGCAGCGTATCCTTCCTTGCCTTGTGTTTTCCTTTTCAAGTAGTGCTGAGTTTCAAAGGCCAGCATGATGTTGTCGGTAATCAATCTGCGGGGGACAAATGCACACTGGTTTTCCGAAATCAAGGTGTTGAGAAGAGGTTTGAGTCTGTTGGCTATGACTTTAGAGATTATCTTATAGAGCACGTTACACAGTGCTATCGGCCTTAGATCTCCCATACCTGTCGGGGCAGTTTTCTTGGGTATTAGAACTAGATGCGTGAAATTGATGCCGCCTGGGAGCTGCCCAGTTGTGAACACTGTATTACAGAGGTAAACAATGTCATTCCCCAAAATATCCCAATATGCTTGGTAAAAGCCTGGGTTCAAACCGTCTGGCCCTGGGGATTTGTCTCTGTGCATGCTAAACACTGCTTTCTTCACCTCATCAGAAGAGACTCTTCGCATCAGCGCAATGTTCTGAGAATCCGTAACCTTACTGTTCAAACAGCCCAGAACTCCCTCCATATCTCCAGCCTCGCTGGTAAATAATTTATGAAAATAATCACAGATTAGCTCATTCATCTCCATCCCCTTATGTCTCCACACCCCATTTTCGTCCAACAGTTTATCAATTCGGCTTGTTCTCCTCCTCCCCTTAACAACATTATGAAAAAACTTAGTATTGGCATCCCCTTCTCTGTACCACATGACCTTAGCTCTTTGTTTCCAATATTCACTCTGCTGGTTCAAGGTGTTGAGATAGATTTTTTGTGCTTCGCTAAAGGCCCGGATACTATTTTGATCAGTACCATTTTTAAGAGCCTCCATTTTCCTTCTGTTGCTCTCAAGTCTCTTAGAAAAATCCTTGGTGAGTCCTCTACCCCAATCCCAAATCATTGAGCTACAGTTACCTAACCGCACGGTAATATCATCCCTTCGAGACAGTTCCCATGCGGTCGACACTAATTCACGACATTTATCCTCCTTGACCCAGATATTCTCGAATCTAAACCTTTTCACTCTCTCTGTTCTGGCCGTGGGGATAGGCAAGATGGTCACTCGTTGGACCAATCTCCGACCAGGCTTGGGCTCTTTCGAATTTCTCCAGCCAGTCAGCAGTCACAAGAATTCTATCCAGCTTTTCTTCTACCCTATTAGTAGTCCCCCTCCATTTCTCCCAAGTATATTGGTAACCTTGGAAGGGAAAGTCGCTCAGACCACTACTCTCAACTGCCCTCCGGAAGCCCGTAATCAAAGAATCAGGATGTAAGTGTCTACCTCTCTTCTCCTCTTGGTTGAGAAGGTCGTTGAAGTCTCCCATGAGTAACCAGGGGAGCTCGCTTCTCGCTGCAAGGTCGATGATGAGGTTCCACGACTCCGCTCTCCTTGATCTCTCCGACAAGGAGGAGAAGCTCGTCATTCCGACGAGAGAGAGAGTTATCCGATGTCCCAATTGTCACATGCAAGTTAGTCAATGAAAGTGTGAAGAAAAATACCTATATATTCTTTCTTACTTTCCTATTCCTTCCTACTTTCCTATTTTCCTATTAGGCAATTAGGCAACTAGGGTTCACGTATATATTCTTTAATTTCCTACTTTCCTATTCTTTCCTACTTTCCTATTTTCCTATTAGGCAATTAGGCACTAGGGCTCACATATATATTCTTTCCTACGTACTATCCTATTCCTAATACAATTCTATATTAAAATTAATAATAATAATAATAATAATAATAATAATAATAATATTAATCAAAATAAAATTCTCATCTTTAATTTTCCCGCTCAAACTAATATGAATATTAATTAATTTGTAAAAAAATTAATAAAACTTAATTGGTAGCAAAATTTTATATGAAAATTAATTAATATCCGGGTTGGACCAGCGGATTGCATTAGTAATTTGTAAAAAAATGTTTAATAAAATTAACTTTTTACTATTAGTGATTAAATGTAAAAGACATATAAGCACATTAATAATAATAATAATAATAATAATAATAATAATAATAATAATAATAATAATAATAATAATTTTGTTATTATTATTATTATTATTATTATGCAATAATAAAATAAAATTTATAATAATATTAATAATAATAACAATAATAAAAATGAATAGTAATAATAAGAAGAATAAGAATAATAATACAAAACAAAATAATATATAAAATAAAATAAAAATAAAAAAACAAAACAAAACGTAACTTCTGTGGAATCAACTTTGATCCCACATCGTTACTGAATGAAGATGAGCTCAAAGAACTCCTCTATATAAGAGGAGCATTGCTCCCTTAATGATTTACGAAACGATTTGCTTACCTATCATTGCTGAGCAAGCATTGATAGCAAGGCTCCTTCATGTAAGGAGCCTTTAATATAATACAAGGGCATTTTGGAAAAATGTTATTCTTTTCCCAAAACGCCAAATTGAAATGCTGCAAAATGTAGCATTTCAATTTTTAACGGTTTGGATCAAATCGCTACTCTAAACTACTAAGGCACTAAACCAATCGCTACTCCAAACTACTAAAGCACTAAACCACTTTTTTAGTATTTTGTCTTTGGTTAAAATGTTTGATAAAATTAACTTTTTACTATTAGTGGTTAAATGTAAAAAGAAATATAAGGACAATAATAATAATAATAATAATAATAATAATAATAATAATAATAATAATAATAATAATAATAATAATAATAAGAATAATAATAATAATAATATTATTATTATTATTATTATTATTATGCAATACTAAAATAAAATAAAATTTATAATAATAACAACAACAACAACAATAATAATATTATTATTAATATTAACAATTTAACAATAATAATAATAATAATAATTATTATTATAATATAAAATTTATAATAATAATAACAACAACAATAATAATATTATTATTAATATTAACAATTTAACAACAACAACAACAACAATAATAATAATAATAATAATAATAATAATAATAATAATAATAATAATAATAATAATAACACAAAGCAAAATAGTATATAAAATAAAATTTAAAAACAAAAAAAAACATAACTAATGTGGATTCAACTTTGATCTCACATCGTTACTGAATGAAGGCGAGCTCAAAGAGCTCCTTTATATAAGGAGAGCATTTGCTCTCTTAATGATTTACGAAACGATTTGCTTGTCTATCACTGCTAGGCAAGCATTGATAGTTTAAAATGCTCATTCTCCCTCAGAAACGATTTGCTTGCCCATCACGACTGGGCAAGCATTGATAGCCTAAAAGGCTTCTTCATTTAAGGAGTCTTTAATGACTTCAGTTATAAGTTTTTTTTTTTTTTTTTTTTTTTTTTTAAATATAATACAAGGGCGTTTTGAGAAAATGTTATTATTTTCCCAAAACGCCAAATTGAAATGCTGCAAAATGTAGCATTTCAATTTTGAGCGATTTAGAATAAACCGTTGCTCCAAACTACTGAAGAATCAACCGACTCTTTGGTATTTTGTCTTCGGTCAAAATGTTAAAATGACGGATCTGTCAAATTTTTGACGGATTTGTCATTTAGTAAACAAGCCAATCATTATATTTGCGTATAGCTGTAAACTTTCAACAAAATTAAGTCTAACTCCTATATTTACACCAAATTATGTGTAGCTTCAACTTCAATCGATTTAGAGTGATGCGTATAAATTAAAGAAGATGATGAATTGTTTGATGAGGTTACTTATTTGTCATTAACATTGTTTTCCTTTCACGACTTTCTGAATGGACAGGTGTCTGAAAGTTTTATTAGAACTTTGGAGCCTAACAAGCAATACAATGCAAAGGATGGTGGATCTGTTAATGCTGTCAAAGTTAAGACTTTTATGGTCAAGTGCTCCTCTTCTTCCGCCGCTCCTTCTTCAGGTGAAACTACCTCCCGTCGCAATCAGTAATTATTTCTCACTTTATTTTCTGAGTATCAAATTTCCAACTTTCATTCATCAACATATCTTTATTTTCCTGGACCAACCTTCAGGAGTGGTAGAGAGGCCGTGGAAGGTGGCAAAGGATGGTTCAATTTGGAAGGCGAAATCATTTGATGCTTCTGGGACCCAAGTTGGCGAAGTGGTTTTCAATACATCTTTAACAGGGTTAGATGACTATGAAATCTTTACTGTTAATACTTTAATTATAATATATAAGAAAAGTACAATTTTGAATTATCAAACACTAGTGTTTTCAAGAGGTTGCTGAGAAGATAAACTGTATGATTAGGTACTGGTTCAGTAGCTACATTTTTCCTCATAAGAATTTCAAGTTCTTGATTACTCAGGAAGTAATTTAAAAATCAAATTTTCCTGGACCTTCTAACTGCAATCTTCTTCTTATTCTCTCCACCCTCAATAGATTTCTCAACACTTATACCCAGATGAGGAGGAGGAGGCATCTTGTTCTCCTTGCTTGTTGCCATGCTTCTCAGCATATACCTAGGCTTCTCTCCTCCTCCTCTCTGCACCGTCGTCGGAGAAGTCGCCGGAACTGTCTTCCTCCCACTCTGCACCCCCCTTTTCTTAGCAGACTCAACTCTCACTCCAAGACCATAAACCGCCTTCTTCTCCTCCCCGGTTTCGCCGCACTTCTTCCTCTTCAGCCTCTCATTCCTCCTCGCTGAGTACTCTTCGTAGAGCCTCCCCCTCTCAAACAATGGGCTTCTGGGGTTAAATGAGTATTCCTCATTCCCGGGATTGCCCCCATCGCCATTGCTGATTTCTTGATGCAACATCTTTACCAGCGCCCGGAGCTCACAGGAAATTGTATAGAATTCCGGACGCATCTCCCATTCTTCAACGTCGCTACGAGGATTAGGCAACTGGGATTTTGTCAAAGAACCTATTCCATCCAAGAAAAAAAGGGTCATACAAAAAGAAAAGAAGGAGAAATCCTTGAATTTCTTGAACTAACTAACCGGTTTTCGGATTTTTGAAATACCTGGTGGAGTTTGAAGGGTGTTTGTGGTAGACCGGAGCGCGCGGCGAGAGCGAAGACGAATCGGAGATCTCGGAAGCGGCGGCTTGCGGGATCGCAACATCATATTGGACACGGAGGAACTCAATCAACTTGCAATAGAATAAATCTGAAGGAAACAAAAAAAGGTGAGAAAAGATTAGATAGATAGAGCACGAATGGGGGGATTTGGGATGGAGAAGAAGAAGGAGCAACTGGCCTGTAACTCTGAAAGTTGCGAGATTTGTCGTTTGTTGGAATTGTTTAATGGAGAAATTGTGATATATAGGAGTTTGAATTTTGGGAAAGGGGAAGTGTGCCGGGGAGCCTATCTTTCAACGGTCATATTCATATAAATGACTGTTCCGAATTGGAAAGATAAATATGACTTCATTTCATACAAAACATTCCTTAATTAAAGATTTCAAAATAATTCTTCCTAAAAAGTTGAATCCCCCACCCAAGCCTCGATCCCTAGTTATTCTTCCCAAACTTCACCCCTATGATCATCCTATAGTGCTGCATTCTTCCCAAACTTTACCCCTATGATCAACTGATCCTCCCGCAGTGCCATTCTTCCCAAACGTCACCCATATGACCAACTGTAAATCATGGTAACAACTCCCATAGTGCCGCTCGATTTTTAAATCATGGTAACAACTCCAACTTCACCCCCCTATTACCAACAGTGCCGCTCGCTTGACCCCTGGACCAACTGATCCTCCCACAGTGCCATTCTTTCCAAACTTCACCCCTATGACCAACAGTGCCGCTTGCTTGACCCCTGGACCAACTGATCCTCCCACAGTGTCATTCTTCCCAAACTTCCACCCTATGACTAACTGTAAATCATGGTAACAACTCCCACAGTGCCGCTCGATTTTTAAATCATGGTAACAACTCCAACTTCACCCCCCTATGACCAACAGTGCCGCTCGCTCGACCCCTGGACCAACTGATCCTCCCACAGTGTTATTCTTCCCAAACTTCACCCCTATGACCAACTGTAAATCATGGTAACAACTCCCACCGTACCGCTCAATTTTTAAATCATGGTAACAACTCCAACTTCACCCCTATGATCAACTGATCCTCCCCCAGTGTTATTCTTCCCAAACTTCACCCCTATGACCAACTGTAAATCATGGTAACAACTCCCACCGTACCGCTCGATTTTTAAATCATGGTAACAACTCCAACTTCACCCCTATGATCAACTGATCCTCCCACAGTGCTATTCTTTCCAAACTTCACCCCTATGACCAATAGTGCCGCTCGCTCGATCCTGGACCAACTGATCCTCCCACAGTGCCATTCTTCCCAAACGTCACCCCTCTGACCAACTGTAAATCATGGTAACAACTCCCACAGTGCCGCTCGCTCGATCTTGGACCAACTGATCCTCCCACAGTGCCATTCTTCCCAAACTTCACCCCTATGACCAACTGTAAATCATGGTAACAACTCCCATAGTGCCGCTCAATTTTTGAATGCTACTGACTCTATTATATTGTAGTATCTGAACGCCAACTCTATTATATTGTAGTATCTGTTCAAACATACTTTCTCAACCTAATGAAGCACAAAGAGTCCCACGGTGCCATTCTTCCCAAACTTCACCCCTATGACCAATTGTAAATCATGGTAACAACTCCCACAGTGCCGCTCAATTTTTTAATGGGCGACTCTATTATATTATAGTATCTGAACGCCGACTCTATTATATTGTAGTATCTGTTCAAACATACTTTCTCAACCTAATGAAGCACAAAGAGTCAACAACGCCTCCACTAAGGTTGGGAGAGGTCACTATCTACATGTCATCTGAGCACAAGGTGCTTGACAAAATAATGATATATATTACTTAATGCTGCTTTTACTAACTACTAGGGTGTGATTATTTTAGGCTCCTCTTGTTAATTTTCTTCTCCCAAAAGGTTGAATATATATCCAACCCCAAAGCCTCCCACATCCCGGCCTGACAAAGCATTTGGGAGGATGTAAATCACTGTGACTCAATGTCTCAGCAATCAGGGTCAAATGTCAGACGGATGCTGTTGAGGTTCGAATAATAATAATAATAATAATAATAATAATAATAATAATAATAATAATAATAATAATATTATTATTATTATTATTATTATTATTATTATTACTATTATTATTATTATTATTATATCATTTTTAAGGGCTTTTCACACTAGCTCGGGCCCAAGCCTAGCGGTCGGGTTGGGAACGAACCTAAGGGTCTTCAAGTAGAGACTCATTAAGCTAATAAAGAAGTTCTATCTTTAGATCGGGTTCGGCGATACATCTGATCAGGTCTGCCTCAGACAGAAAACAACCCCCCGTATGCACGTAGTCGGATCCAACCTAGTGCTCAATACGCAAAGGTCGATAGATCCGGGGTATATTCCCTATTAATACTATAATAGATAACCGAAGAACTTAATATTATAATCTACCATCAAAGTTAAACACAATAGATAATTTTAAAATTTTAAAATATGATATTATCTTTCAAATGATAATCATATTTGTAAAATAAGACATTACCCGGGATCTAGTCTCTTCATCGAGCGAGAAGATTCCTTGGAGGATTAGATCGGCTGTCGTCTACATTCACTTTTGTCTCTCGAAGTGGGGGTCTACGATCCGACACGTTTACCGTGAGGCTAATCAGGTCGCTAACGCTCTGGCGGAGGAGGGTCTTACTGCTAGTTATCCAAATATTTTTTCTTCTCTAGATTCTCTTCTTGTAAAAGTCAAATTGACTTTGTTGTCTGACCTCAAAGGTTTTGTTTTTCATCGGACTATCTGCCGTCAATAAAAGTTTCTTTGCTTAAAAAAAAAAGAAGACATTACAGTTAAAAAGATAATCATAATAAGACAATTTCACGTTTTAGGAACCAGCCGCCTTAAAATTCATCATTATAAAAGTAAGTTATCATCTTCCAAAAAAAAAGTAAGTAAGGATTAAATACACTTATTAAAGGAGTTAATACCCAATATAGTCATGGACTATAGTGATTTTATTCTAAATGACTTTTTATGCTCAATTTGTAACAAATGACTAAATTGTGTAAAATCATCAAAGTCGAAGACTAAATTGAGTACAAAAAAATCATTTAGTACTAAAAAATAATGGCCATCCAGAGAATAAACTGAATAGGGCTATGTCCGAAATATCTAAAGATATTGCGTGCTGATGAATCTACCCTGGCCTGGGTACAATGTGGAAAAGGCTTTTTGCCAGTATTTTGATTCTCTTGAGTGTTGCAATTACTTTTAGATACTGATAAAGTATTTGCTATCATAGAATCATAGATTATATTATGGTTCTTTTTTGGTCCATATATTGTCTAGATAGCTTTGTTGAAAATGCTGTTTTTGATGGATTCTAATATCTTAATAAGTTCAAAAATATAACAATAACAAGCTAAGTATGCTTAAAATCGACAGAACCAACTCATCATGTTCTAGATTAATAAAAGAAATATAAATCTGCTATAGCCTATTCTGAGTAGAAAAATAGGAAAACAAAAAGGAATGATTTATAAAACCTAAACTTAGAGTATTATATAATAAATAAATAAATGCATGCATGCAACTTCATTCACAAGCAAAATGTACTGTAGATGAACCACAAAGTTCAGTTTGAAGCATAACTATCAACTATGCATCCATTAATGTTACTAAGTTTTCCTTATTCCTCTCCATGACAAACAAATATTGTTAGTAGTAAACTACACAACATAACCCTAACATGCTATCCATGCGACCATGCTATACTTATTTATGTTTGTTATAATACTTAGATATTCTAGAAATTAATGCTACTCATCATCAGTAGCAAAACCAGTGTTAATTTAGACATTTTATTGCCTGTAGTTCTCTATTCTATATTTCCTCATATAATGTTAGATTTGTTTCCCTTCTTACTAATGAGTGCAGTAGATTTGAACATATTAAAGTCCTAATAAGATTGTTGAAAAATTGACACAAATGATACAATAAGGCTCACTAAACTATATATCAACTTTCCATATATGTTATTGGGTGTTTGAGTCCCCAAACCCAAGGGCCCGACAGAGCATCTGGGAGGGTACGTGTAAATCATGGTAACTCAACTGAACACAGATGCTAGACCTTGGCTTACTGCGCACAAGCGGAGCCCCGCTCACTTTGAGAGGTTGCTCCCACACTGTTGCTGGTGAGACGCGATCTCTGGTCATTCTTCCCAAACTTCACCCTTGTAACCGAATGAGATGCCTAGGCGGGCTTAACTGTACTCAAGTTTTATTGCGAGCATTTGGATGTCAAACTTCATCAATTCTTAACTCCATCTTTCTGTGGTCAGGTCAGAGCACCACAAGGGAATATCAGCTATAAATTACAATTATTATAACATTTCCATCAAAATATTGTGTTTCCATTACTTTGAGTTTCTAATCCCTTATTGATTTTCCATATCAAAATACTCCAATGATAATTACCTTGTCATTGTTCATATACCTAATGTTTCATGGGTATACCAAACATAATAATCTACATTGCAATATGTTTTTTACCCTTAATTACCAAAGCTCTTACTATATATACCTCCCCACCCCCTACTCCTGATCCAGCCTTCAGTGATCTAATTGTGGAACAGATTTAGGAAAAATAATAAGGGTCTGATTCAAAGCAAATACATATATAAATGAGGATTGTAGAAATTGTAGATTTTTATTGTACATCTTTTGTATAGATGGACCGCATAAATATCTAGATGATTTTCTATGAAATCTTGAAAAACTACAGACTTCAAACTAGGAACTCCAAACGTTCCCTACAATTCTAAAATCCAAATCATTTCCCTATTCTAAAGACCACTTGAACATGAAATCATAATCTGTTTTTAAAACAAAAAAAAAAAAAAAAACAAAAAAAAAAACAAAAAAAAAAAAAAACAAAAACAAAATGAAACTCACCAACTACCCCCTTACCCTCGTACCCTTTTTACACCTGGATCTTAATCGTAGATTTCATACTGATTTTTACTGGCAATCGATAAAAAATGTATGTATATAGGGTATACCATTTGGGGTCCTCTGAGTATAGTGGTCTAATATAATGTTACTTGTTGTACACTTTTCTTTTAATCTTTCATCTTTCATTTTTAGCACCTCACATGCCCGCAGCATGCACCTCACAACCTGCCTGCTGGGCATTTCTTTTTCTATATATATGATCTTGATATGATGATTGTCTTATTTTAAAATTAAAATCCGAATCATATTATTTATGTATATAACTACGT